GGGGGGGGGGGGGGGGGGGGGGGGGGGGGGGGGGGGGGGGGGGGGGGGGGGGGGGGGGGGGGGGGGGGGCTATTCATGTAAGTCGCATGCCGCAGTCGTTGGACTGCTGACCGCGCATCGCTACAATGTCGGGACAGGGCGACATGCCGGCTTTTTGCCGGCCCAGGCTGCCAGGGGAGGGGTGGATGGTTTTGTTCTATTTTTGGTTGCGTTTGGCAAGATGACAATGAATGATACCCCAAACGCCGCCACCACTTCCTGTTATGGGATGTGGTCGCAAGGAGTTGAGCCGTAGTTCTTCGCAAAATAAGTCTTCATGCGTGTGAAAACCTCACGGCTAACTTCGCCCCGCTTACCGCCGAAAGGGCTTTTTTTGCGATCGCACTCATTTTGCGGGTGGTTTTCTTTCCTGCTGCGGCGTGTCTTGGCTTTCTGCTTCCCCTTGCAGCAAGCCCGTGAAAGCGCCCGTGTTTCTTGACGGCGATTTAACCAAGAGGCAGAAGAAGCGGAGATTCGACCTGCAGTAGCAGCCAGGCTCGCCAACAACGGAAGAGCTCTCTCAACACGTGAAAGCGGTGCGGGATGAAGCGGGAGGTCAAAGTCATAGGACGCGGGGGGGTACGCAAACGGGGCGGGGAAGGGAGGGGGTGTAAGTGGGGCTCGCAGAAGCACTCACTCGGCTCTTGTTGCGTGTGCTGGTGCAAGTTTCCTAGCGAGTAGCAAGCAAGCAACCGAAGATTACGGGCTGAGTGGCCTATCCTGTCGCGACGTTTCGCCTTGGTCAGCATTTAACTGGTGCTGTGGTCATCAATGTGAGATGTATTGTTGTATTGACGTAGTAGGTGCCGTGGTTGTTATGTGTTTGTCGTTCATGGGGGCATCCGTCCGTGTTTCGCGTCTTCGCCGCCAAAAGGTGGTTCCATCTACGGTGTTCACAGAATAACTTGCGTTTCGTTAGCACGTGCGTTTCGTTTGACTGTGTGATGTGATGTTTGCACACCCATTTACTTGATGAGTGTGGTGTTTCGGAATCGTTAATTTTGTCTAGTATCCCTGTGTTTCGTATGCGGTGACGCTCGCGTATAAGCCGCCGTGGCAGTAACTTCAAGGGTGTCGATGTAAACCGATGTGCGTGACACGTGTGCATAATTCTGGAAATATTTGGTGTTGCACGTCGCCGGTCCGGTGTTGTCGTAAATCCCCTTTGATACATGTCTGGTCGTTTTTCGTCGTTTCGCGATGTCGGAGGGAGGAACGCCTCCTTTCGTGCTGTTCGTGTCATCGGAGCATGCCGTGGCTAGTGTTGTCGGAACGTAAACGAAGAGTTGGGGGAAGTACGTGTAGCGGCGGCGGGCGCGGGGGGGGGGGGGGG